GTGTGCAAGGGTGCACGCAAGAAGTATGGTGTGGGTCAAGGAGGGCGTGAGGGGATACTCAAGAGGCACAGCGTGAATTGAGAAGGGTGTGCAAAAGGTTCAGGAGGGTGCAGATCGGGGAGGGTGCATGAGGGTGTGAGGGTCAGGGAGGGTGTGAGGGTGTGTGTGAGAGGTGCAGTGCAGCCCGGGGAGTGTGCACAGGGGTACGCGAGTGACCGGCACAGCATGAATGCAGAAGGGCTGGGGAAGGGTGTGCAGGTGGGGGCAGACTTACTCCAGTGACTTGTGACTGCTGGCTTCCCCACAGACTTTCTGAAGAAGCCAGCAGGGAAGGTTGCAAATGGCGATCACATTATCACAGGGTGCTGCAACTGGTCATAAGCACGAACCGGTTGCAAAGCGCCCAGATTGCGATCGTGTGACCTTGGGGCTGCTGGGATGGCCAGAACTCCGAGGACCAGTTGTAACCACCATTTATTTAGCACCATCGTAACTTCGAAGGGTCACTGAACGAATGGTACAGGTTGAGGACTACCTGTAGCCCAAAACATATCCCTCCAAATTCTGAATTATTATTATTCTACCCTCTCCCACTCCCAGGCACTTTAGTACAGCATGGATAAGATTATTAATTAGTATCCTCATCTAAAAACCTAATGTCATTTCTAAAAATACATTCCATTGTCTTTAAACCATATCCTTGATTATGCAATGTTAATATTATGTATTTAAAACAAAAATAAAGTGAGATACTTTACTTCTGTACATCCTATTTGCTCTCTGATTTGTCTTATGCTTATACCTGTCATTCCGGTCATTACACATCCAATATTTTCAGTTATCCTGAATAAGTGAGTCACTGTGCTAGAATCCAGCAGCTTGTCCTAATGGATAAAACAGAACATAATTTTAAGGTGTACACCACTACCATGGAATGAGATTTCTTTACTTCATTAGGCAAAAAAGTCTATCTCATTTTAAAATATTAATATTGCCTTTTAGGGACACTAAATCTAGTACAATTAATTTGAAAAGAAGGAGATGTAGTGCAAATCCTGGATAGCTATTACCTGGAAACAGCTTTAGAGAATTACGGTTACCCATTTAAAACCAAACTCTGGGTGGCTCACAACCAAAGGATAAAACAATATATATAAACAGTAAAAACAAAAAACAATAAAACCAGAAACAAAAAAACCTGGCACCACAACCAAAGTTTCCTAATGGAGCCTACAGCACTCTCTTCCAACTCCAATTTCACCCTATCCCAATGCATAGGGGAAAAGTCAGCTCTTAAGTGCTGCTTCCTCCTCCTCCTGTAGAGTTACCATACCTTCAGTTTTTAAGTCTGAATAATATAGCAAGTTACAATTAAGGAAATACAAAAGCATCTGAATTTTCATACTGGAGATGAAATAAGTGTTTACTATTACTTCTTTGCACTTTGCTGCACAATAATTAACATGGTGTTCAAACCGAACTCATAGAAGATCTTTAAAACCATTTTAATGATTATTTTTTTCAGTAACTATTAAACTACTCATCCAAAGGACATTTGATGGTTGAGAAAAGAAGGAGCGTTTAGTTTAGAAAAATTCTTCTTAAGAACACTGTTGACCCTAGTGACACTATAATCATAATTTCATTTTATCACAACAATTTTCAATGTTTTCTTTTGAACTAAGCACCCTGGAAAATCTATGACTCTCTAAGTGAGATACTGTTCCCTAATTGTATTTCTGTACAACTTCAAAGTCTGGATCTTCCATCCTCTAAACAATTCCAATACTCTTCATTAGTAAGATCAAAGCACAGAAGAATTAAATATCAAGGAACAGCATGAAGAAGACACAAGTCAGCCAGATATATGGTCAAGGAGGTTCCACAGTCATACTATAGGTTTTGCTAAGAAATACTTACAGGTACTTTTTTCTGTGTGACAACAACTGCACAGTCCTTTCCACGAACAGCTACTGATGTCAGTCCACCCTGGTTTATGGCCTTGAATGCATATTCTAGTAATACATTAAACACAGATTTTTATCAACAACACTCTAAAAAATCAGATGTAAACCTTTGCTAAAAGTAGACAGTTCACATCCACAACAATGCATTAGACTAAGTATTATATCATTTAAAAGCAATGCTGTCATATTTTTGAGACGTCCAGATTGCTACAATTTTAGATTTTTCATATTCTGTATTCACATTTGTCTGTACTATCAGGCAGTGACCTGAGTCTCATGCAGAAGTATGAATCTAGTACAATTCTTGCTGGGTATAAAAACAGACAGCATGCAAAGTAGAAATGTAATCAGGCTCACAGACTATTTTGGGTAAAATCTAGTATCTGGGATCAGTAACTACTAAATGCCTATAAAACTTCACAGAAAAAGCATACCTCCTCGTGCCAATATTAGTTCAAGATAATAAAGGGACTAACAAGTAAATGCCAGAAGAAAAACACACTACATCTTTATCAGCCTTCTCCAATCTGGTGACCCTTGGATGTACTGGATTACACTTCCCAGAATGCCCAACTAATATTGCAGATAGTGGGAATTATGTGAAATAATAAAATAATGCTTCTGAAAAGGCACCCATGCGAACTTTCAGAACTATCTATAAAGTTATAGATAAAATCCTGATAACATAGAGGTATGCTACACGGTCAGCATTGAGAAGGAAAAGCCACAAGGGAGGGGAAAAAGAGTATTTCGCGGGCCGATTTTTTCTTTCCCATCCACTGGTGCCTGGATACATCCGCACTTTCCCGGGTCATTTTGTTTCGCTTTCGCTTTCGCCCAATGACAGAGTTTTTCGCTGCCAACAACTGATCATCTTTTCAAGCAGCACGCCCACATATTTACGCTGAGGAAAATACCAAAGCGCTTTATACGGTATGTTAATGGCATAAAAGCGACTGTGCTTTCAATACGATCTCTTTGGAAGTGACTACGAAAGAACTGAGGCGCTGCTCCGCCGTATCTCTACTTGCCCACCACTTCTGAGAAAGGAACAAGCACCTGTGTCATTAATATGCATTTTCTTCCCCTCCTTTGATCGAGAGAAAGAAAGGTGGCGTCCGGCACCATGACGAGGCGGTTCTTGCCACTCACTTACCTACTTGATAAAGGCGCCCCTCAGGGGAAAAGATAGTAATATGTCGGTCAAACCCGGCGCTGGAGCCTCGAGACATGGTCGCGCAGAAAATGTAAACGAAGCAGCAGCACTGAGGAAATTGCCCGCAGACACAGCATGCAAAGATTTCTACTTCCAGCGGCTGGAGGGGGCAAGCGAGACGGAGTAGTACTTCCGAGCCGCATGCTCTCGCGCAGGCGCAACTAGTCGCCTTCCCCGGAAGCGCAGGAAAG